CTGGGATAACAGCAAACCCAGCCTGCACTCTGGCATCACCTCCACAGGAGCTCAACAGAATGGCTGTATAACCTACTTAACCCAGACCTCCACAGTCTTTTAACGGTGTTTGCAGGGAAGTAAACCAGCAGGGATCCTCTCACAGGACAAACACATTGGGAATTACATGCTGCTCTTGTATGGCACTGGCACCCTTCCTTCAACCTGCTCCCCTCAGCACAGATGGGTGTGAGGGGTTGAACAGAGGTCTGGTTAATTTTACAGTTTAATAGGATTTTCTAGAAACTCAGCCATCAATTCTGGATGAAAAAAAGAAAGGCTTTGCTGAGCTCCCTGTTCTTTCCTTTCTAGGCAATGTTCTGCAGGTAGAGCTGCACACTTCAACCGACTGCAAGGGGAGCAGCAGGGGCCTGGACAGGCTTGAGAGGTGGGTTGGAGCAATCCCAGGCACAAATACAGACTGGGCAGAGAATGGATTGAGAGCAGCCCTGAAGAGAAGGATTTGGGGGTGTGGATGGATGAGAAGCTCAACCTGACCCAGCAATGTGCACCTGCAGCCCAAAAAGCCAACTGTGTCCTGGGCTGCATCAAAAGCAGTGTGGGCAGGAGATGAAGGAGGTGATTCTGCCCCTCTGCTTCACTCTGGTGAGACCCATCTGGAGCACTGTGCCCAGCTCTGCAGCTCCTTGAGATAGGAAGGAGCAAGGGTGAAAAAGGTGATCAGAGGAGCACCTGGTGATCAGCTGGAGCACCTCTGCTATGGAGACAGGCTGAGAGAGTTGGGGGTTGTTCAGCCTGGAGAAAAGAAGGCTCTGGGGAGACCTTACTGCACCTTCCAGTACCTAAAGGGGCTACAAGAGAGCTGGAGAGGGACTTTTGACAAGGACATGGAGACAAGACGAGAAGGAATAACTTTAAACTGACACAGGGTAGGTTTAGATTAGAAATTCTTGACTGTGAGGGTGGGGAGACCCTGGCACAGGTTGCCTTGAGAAGCTGTGGCTGCCCCATCAAGGCCAGACTGCACAAGCCTTTGAGCAACCTGGTTTAGTGGAAGGTGTCCCTGCCCATGCCAGGGAGTGTTGGGACTTGATGATCTTTAAGATCTGCTCCAACATAAACCATGCTATGATTGTAACCCCAGAGGAGATTAACTATTAGCTATTCAAGACACACAGATAGATTGTTTCTCTTGTAATTCCAACAACAGTGAAAGCATTAACTTTTAGGAGTGCTAGGATTGAATATTCTATTAAGCTTTTTTGTACTGTATTTCTCCCAGTTGTCTTGGTTTGTGGTAAAAAGCACAAACGGACTGACTAAAATCGCTCTTCCTTAGACTCATGATTAAAATATCTACAAGAGGTGGACATCCTAGGCAGATTTTCAACCAGGGAAAAAGTGGAAGATTGGAAAATTAATATAGATATAGCCCTAGACAGCGAATTTTTTTCCCAATGCGCCCTGAGAGTCAGCCTCCTTGATAAAGTATTTTAATAGCATGTTTTAGGGGTGAAGTTTTTAAACAGACAAATTGTAGAAATAATAAAGCCCTAACACACACTACTGCTGACAAATTAGCTACTAAAGCAAGGCCTGGGATGGGAATTGTTTACTGCCATATTACTGAATTCACTCTTCTGCATTGTTGCTTACAGACCAGGAACACACAGGCTGGCATTTAAATGCATGGCTGGAGGCACACAGTACCCAAAAGCAGATGAACAGCAGTATGACTTCCTCAACTTGGGAACTGCAGAGCTGCTTAGAAACCTACCCAGAGGCTCTGCAACACCTCTGGAGCTCAAGTTCACATGCCCTTTGTAGCCAGGTCTGCTGCAAGCCACAAAAGGGTCCAGGTCTTCATGTGAGTGCCCATACCCAGCCTAGGGGAGGGTGGCAAGGGGGAATGAGGAACAACCACATGCAGGAAGGATGCTCAGTCAGGTTACACACCCAAGGATCTGAAACACCAGGAGGAAAAACTACTGCTGCAGAAATGCCACCAATGCTGCGAAAAACAAAAGAAGCCCAAAGATCAGGCAGGGGCAGTAGTGTTGTTATTCAGGCTATAATCACTATGGGCATGGAAGAGAAGTTTTCCATAATTCCAGGAGATATTAATGACAATTAAATTACCTATCATTATTCTTAATACCATACAGGTGAATAGAACGAAAACAATGGTGGCCAAGGTCAGTAATAAACGAGGTCAATATGAGGAACCAGGCCAAAACTAAAACCCTACATTTTCAAAGACAACCTCTGTAGCATTTCATACTTTGATATGACCAGTGTCTAAAACTACTCATATTTACAAGGATAACAGTAAATACAACTGTTTGCTTCTGGGTATATTCTCTGAAACTCAATATGTGCTGATAAGTTTAACCAAGAAACTTTCATTCTAGCACAGCTAAATAAAAAAGTTGTATTCTATCACATACGGAGTGATATCTTACAGAGAGATTTACCCCAGATTACCCCAGATGCAGCCCAGCTATCAGAGTCAGGCCACCTGCAATACTGTAGTTAAGACTGTCAGTGCTTACATTACTGCTTTATTTCTCTACTGAACAACTCATACATTCATTCATTAACAAAAGGTTGCTCTGGGCTCGGCTTTGACATAAGAGCCTTAGCTGAGCAACATAAGTGTTTTAAAAACAAACTTCAAAAACCCAGTGGCCATTTTCTTTTAGTGACAATTGCCAGGCAACTAGCTTGCTTGGCTTAGATTTTTTCCTCTGCACTCCTATAACTCAAAAATGTCTCTAGAGCAAATAAAAGAATTACTCAAGTATTAAATAATCAAGAGGAGTTATGATTAAATAAGTACCTCACTACATATGGCCCTAATGAATTCAAACAGCTCTATCAAGTACGAAAGCACAATGGTTTTGCAATGCCCACTAATTTTTTATTGTAAAGGAAGTCAGTGTATGTTCTGGTTTGGCACAGGATGAGCAGGCTGTAGCTCTACTGCTTTGGCTTGTGTTTTTAGTGGCATTTCATGTACTCGTTCTCTGTAGACAGATCAAGGTGTCAATATTCAGCAATAAATGTGACAGTCAAGTTCATTAACTGCATACATGGACGTCTTCAAGAAAAAGTGCACTTTTTCTGCTGTGCCAATAAAAGAAGGACATGGGAGAACAAACACTGATCCTTTTAGGATCGTACAGCAATGCACACGTTGTCTGTGCTCATGAAACCTGACATACAGCCTGCAAGGGCTGTTTTTGCTCTGCCTTATCACTTAAAAGCACGGCAGGTTTGCCAGTGCAAAACATGTTGGAAGATTTTACTCAAAACTGAGTATGTCAACTGATCTTTTGAGATCAAATAGGCTCACACTACAAGTGGAAGTAAGTTCTGTTTCTTACTGCCTTGGAAATGCCAACTGGGCTTAGAGTTAAGATGGGTTTCCTCTTAGTATCACCTGTAACACGACTTCTCCATCTCACCTGACCTCAAGCTAAACCTATAGTTACATCTCTGCTCCTTTACTGTTCCAGAGTGGATTGACAGGTTTTGAATGAAGGGAGAAAAATCTGCCCTGACTCCATGGCACCAGAGCTGCAGCTCCCGGACCATCAGCTGAAACCTCCCTGCATAGGAGGAGCTTGGCAGGCTGCTATAAAACTGGGATTTCTGCAGAAAGGGTCTAAGGCAGGTTGAAAGGCACTGTCCTGCACTGTACCCTGGAGGCTAAAATGCTGCCCATGAGTCCTGCCTGCACCCATCTGCCCAGGTGACCAACACTCAGCTCAGCCACAGCCTCCTCCTGGTCACTGCAACACAAGAGTAATCCAGCTTACTGCAATGTGGTCCCTAAATCCCTTCTGAGCAACAGAGAGAGCTCCCTCCACGTATGCCAAACTACCCAGGTGGTGTGACACCACATGAGTGCCACCTCTTTATTTCACAGCCTGCACAAGTGTGGTGGCATGTCTTGGGCAATCACCGAGCAAAGAAGGCGCAGCAAACAGCACAGAAGAGTGCTGCTGGCTGAGTGCCACATAGCTCAAAATCCATAAGCTGATACATTTCCACAGTCCCCCAGAAAAAGATAAGAGTTACTCACAGTGCAAGTAGTACAGTGACCTACATAAACACAGCCCTTTTGTAAACAGGAGACAAGAATGGCAGGAACAAGCAGCTAACAGGGGAACAGTGTCAGATTTTAATCATCGTTGGCTTTAAGCAAACTATTACAACACTCCTGCACCTTTGCCCCATTCTCAACTCTACCTTACCTACAAGGAGCAGGTCAATTGTGTCTTAAGAAAAATCTCCTCTGCAGAACAAGCATCGTATTACCACAGTACATTTGTCCTTGGCGTTCAAACAGAGCAGCAAGATTTTCGGAACAAGAAAGTCTCAGTTTCTCAGGAGGCTCAGAAATTCACAATGGTTTTTTTTAAGAGTCAAGTCACTTCTAAGAAATAAGAAATGATCTCATCCCTGGGATTAAATGCAGCCTATAACTGGAATGAGTTACCAAAGGATGGAGAATTAGATTTCCTTTGGTAAATCAGGGGATGGATGCCACAGCATGTGTGCCTCTACTTGGCATCTATTTGGATGTACATTTTAGTGATGTTAAGGAGACAGGGAACACCTGGAGAGCAGGACCAGCCTTTCACAGCTACCCAAGGTAAGCACAGCACTCAGGAAGAACTGAAAATGCTGGGACATCTCAGCTTCCAACCTCACACCCCAGCTACAAAGCTGATGCCAGAGTAAGTCTAGACCCTTCTGCTCTGACCAACCTGAAAAGAGGAAAAGCCCTTAACTGACACCCAAGCCCTGCAAACACCAGTTTCAAATGCCACCAAAAGTTTTTCTTTAAAAATCAGGAGAGAAGGAGCTGGTAACTGAGGCATTTGGGGTTTACTGGATGGAGGAAAGGGACAGGATGGCTTCAGCATGTAGAGTTCATGGTACCTGAGCCCTGCCACAGCAGCAAGCTTGGGGAACTGCAGAGATCTACTCACGGCTGTCGAGAGCTTTCCCTCGCTCTTCTGCACGTGGACGATCGCATCCCGCACCAAGGAGAACAGGTTCAGGAGGACGTGCTCCATGTCATAGATGCCGTGCATGCCTTTGGTCAGCCCCTCCAGAGACCCGATGTACTCCCTCCAGTGGTTGTGGATCTCCACGACGCCCGCCAGGCACCCCTGCATCACCGCGCCGCAGTAGCCGGCACAGGGCTTGGCCAGGAGCAGCCCCTGGCAGTGCGAGCAGTACCACATCTTCAGCAGCGCCCGCCCGCAGTCCTTGCTGAATTTCAGGTGGTCAGTGGTGTTTATCACCTCAATCCCCAGGTTCAGCGCCTGCAGGAAGACACGCGTGGCCTGCAGTGACTTGGACACCTGCGTCATCATCACCTTCGGGTAGTTACCAAAGACTTTGAGGTCCCTCCTGGCTGCCCGCAGGCATTCGGTCATTTCCCCAGAGGGATCAGGGGAGCTGGGATTAATCAAGTGGGAGTAAACCAAAGGAAAGAGACTGTCAAAAAATTCATTTATCATGTCATTAACACTGATGTCAGAGCCCAGTATATACAGAGAAACATCAGTAAAGAGTTCTCCAACAAATTTAAGAGCTCTGGGTCCCATGCTCTTGTAGTGGGTCCTAAACATGCTGTTGGTGAAGTTTCTTGCATGCCGCACTACGATTTCAAAGGCTTCTGCAAAACAGAACAAAAGAAAAATGTTATTAAGAGACAATGAGCTCAGAAACAAGGAGGATAATGTTTAATGTTCTACCACATCCCTGCTGCCAGGGCTGGCCCCATCCTGCCTGCCTTGGGTCAAACACCTGCTGGCAGCTGTGCCTGCTGCAAAACTTACCAGCATCAGCAATTTTCAGGGGCAATGCATAAATTCTTTAAACAGAAGCTACATTTCAAAATGGCAAAGAAACTATGATCTAGTTAACATTTCAGCTTTTAAAGAAAATATTGATTCAAGAAAACAGCTAGACTGCAATTTCCTTCTCTCTCCCTTTCATATTGATTTGAAATTAACAGGAATTCTATCTCCAGACTTAATTTAAGGCAGAGATAAATGTTTGACAAACTGTACAATGCTTAAAATCAGGAAACAGTAAATGCTCACAGTCCATTATGAAAAGGAAAATATTTATAGGAGTTTAATCATAGAGGATATTCCAACTCAACCCCCAGCACTAAGTATCCTCCCAGCCATTGGAAAAGCCCCCACAGTGCTGCAGTTTTCCCAAATGCACCAGGCTCACTTCAACTACAGATCCAATGTTCCATCTGCCCTGGATGAGAGCTGTTCCACGGTCCAGTGTGATGCTGAGAGCCAGTGACACCATGTCCATCTGTGGGTGCCCAGCCAGGACCACCCTCACACATATCAGGTTGTGCCAAACTGTCCTGTGAAACTCAAGTTTTAGACAGAGACTGTCGTTTTGCCAGGAAAAACCATGGTGCATTTTCCCATTTACCCCTTCAAAGCCTTGAGGGCTTTCTGTCCACACCTCCTCCATGAGGTGAGCAGGAGAGCTCCCAGCAGCACAGTCACTGCACAGTTACTCCTTTAATTATAGCCCTCCCCACCAGGAGACTTCCAAAATATCCATACCCCACTATGTAAAAACAACATACCTATGCACACACACACACCAGTTAGCATGTTGAAGCATCAGAATGGGATGCCATTGGTGCAAACTGAAGTGTCTTTCTTCGTCCAACCCTCTCTATCAGTCTGAGTCCCACCCTCCAGGGTACTATTCACAAAATGCTAAAACCAGTAAACAGCCTCTCGGTTCACAGGTCACTGACACCCTGCAGTGTAACTGCTCCGAGCTGTGTCACTCTGGAAACACACATCCAGGCTCAATTTGCATGAAAATTATTCATGTTCAATAATTAAAGGGAATGTTTAATTTTTAAAGCCGTAAGTGTTATTTCCCCATTTGTTAAGGCTGGGATGCAGCTGAGGGTGGCCTGGCACATCTCCTCAGGGGTTCAGTATCAACACTATCACAAGCAATGTCAGGCCTTGCTGCTCGCCCTGCATAACCTCTCACCTTACTCAAGAGCTTTTAAGACCATCACATCTCCAGGACTTCCAGCTCTTTCCTCCCAGGTGCATCCTACGCAGGAATGCCTGGTGGGACAGGGACCAGGTGCTGTTTGCTGCCCCCCACCCCAGCATGCAGAAAGCTATGTTGTAAGCAGAGAGCAAAGCAGAAATTACTGACATAGTTCTGCAAACACTGTCTCCATCCCATCTGGTGCCTGCACACACCCCAGCCATGCTGCTGAAGCATTCTGTCCACAGCTCCCGACACTCGCACCAGGACCGTCCCAGCAAGCCCAGAACAACCATCTGCATTCCCAGGAGACAGCAATCCTTCCTAACAGCACAGGTTGAGGGATGCAGCGGTGCAAGGACACAGGGCCCCTCTCTCCATGCCTCCTTCTCCATAACAGCTGGCATCCTGCTTCTCATCCCCATACAGAGGATGGCAAAGCTCTCCAGCACAATGGCAAGTCTGACACAGAGTGGGCTGTGCAAGCAGAGCAAATTCTGGTTGCACTGTTACTAAAAGTTTAAAAAAAAAAACCAAAAACGTTTCTTTAAAGAGGGCACATGGATTACAAAACTTTTTTCCCCCTCTTCTTTATCCTCAAGAGCACCAGAACAGCTTTTTCCTCAAAGAGCACAAAGAATTTTTTTGACCAGTGTTTTTTTGACAGCACTGGAGACGGTGCCAGGATTTTCATGCTGTGCCTCACCATTCGCCTTTAACCTCTTCTCTGTTAGTTCCTTTAGAAAAAGTCATCCCTCTTCCCTTTTCTCGCTCCTCTGTGCTTTTCCAGTTATCATCAGAGCCAAAAGACTCTTCGCTGATTAGAAAAATATTCCAAGCTCCTATGCAAACCTCCTACGGCGAGAAATGCTTCAGAAAGGAATGGAGAACAGTGGCATATCAACAGAGCATGCACACACAGTCCCACTGCTCTAAAGGTCATGACATGCACATAATTTTTATCATAATAACTGGCTGAGAGTGTCTATTTTATGCGCCTTGGAGCTTTTGCATAAAGCCATTAGAAAGCGCAACAGGGACTATAAACGCATATGGAGATTCCTGCTGCCCTATTAATAGATGCAAGAAATAATAAAACTTTGTTAAAAAAAAAGGAGTCTTGCATATCCAAAATCTCTCCCACTCAACTCCCATAGTAGGTGCTTATTCTGAAATATCCCCTGCAAAGCACTGGCTGCAGGAACAGCAAATCCCCAGCTGCCAGCAGCTGCAGTGACCCACGGCCAGGCTCTGAGCACTTCAAAGAGGAGGAAACTTTGCAGGTCAGTCCCCTGTGCTCCCACGAGGGAGCCTCGCAAGGAAACAGAGGGGGCAGCGCATTACAGAAGCAACGTGGGCTTCTGATCCCCCATAAAATCCCACAGCCTGGATTTGCTGCTGGTAAAATCTGCCCTGCTTATAACACGGCATTATTGAAACTCCCATTGCTGGAGGATAATTCAATCTTTTCTTTCTTCTTTTTATTTTTTTTATTTCAGGAATATTTTCAAAAGCTGCCACTGAGAGCAGTCAGTTTGCAGGTCTGGCTGAAGCAGAGTGACTACCCCGACAAAGTAAAGCATCAGACTTGCTCCCAACTTCAGGAGGCAAAGGCACTGCGCAGCTGAGTAGGGCTCACGTTTTAAAATCTCCATCACTGTACTGTGCACACACAGCACAGAATAAAAAGTGTTCCTGTAAATACATTAGCAACAAAAGAAGGGTTCAGGAGAATCTTCCTCCTTTACTGGATGCAGGGGAAAGCACAGTGACAAAGGTCAGGGAAAAGGAAGATTAGTAGTAGTACTTACTACTAAAGACTGAGGCCACGAATGCATTAAGACCAGGTGTTCCTCAGGTACATGGCCCCCTGAGTTAGAAGACAGGGATGGGAAGTAGAACGAAGACCCCATAATCCAGGAGGAAATGGCCAGGGACCTGCTACACCACGTAAGTTATGGGCAGTTTATCAGGGCTCCCAAAGGATGCATGAAACAGCTGAACATCCTGTAGACCACGGGTATCAGGCACCAGCTGAACAGCATGGGCTATTACTTATTATTCCGGCAGGACTCTTGTTGAAACACCTGGAGAGGAATTGCTGCCCAGTTCCAACAGCCAGAATGGCAGGACTAAGCTCCTTTCAAAGTGTAAAAGCTTCCCAGAACGCAGCCCGGGGAGAGCTGCATGGCCACTGCAAACTGGCAATTAGAGAAAATAAATTGTAAAAGAGCATAACAGTGCCTTGAGTGGGGATTACTGGCAGGAGAAGGAAATCACTGCCTTCTCAGCTCAGATAATAAGAGTCTACTGCTTAGTAAAAATGCCAGCTTTCCTGAGAAAGCACGTTCACTCCTAAGCTGCAGCAACTTCAAAGGGGTCGACGGCGGGGCCAGAGGAGCTCTGGATTAACCTACTGGCTGCCCCAGGCTGCAGGAGGCTCCAGCCACGTCTGCGACTTGATGGGTTTATTTAAGAGATTATGTGATGCAGTTGCCTGAACTGCAAGGAGCCGGCATGAGCGACCCCAGCAAGCCATTCCCATTCAGCATCCCACCGGAGAGCAAGGAGCCAAAATCTGATGGCAGCCACAGAGCTGGGGCAGCTACAGAGAAGGCACCTCCAGGTCCCAGCTCAGAAAGAGCAGCTTCACAAGCAGCAGAAGGTGTTTGGAAAGGTGCTGCTGCTGGGAACAGGGAGGTCTGTGGTCCCTCTGCCCCCCATACCTGCTCACCAAAAAACAGCACTACAGCAGCCCCATGGAACCACCTTCCCATTGGGAGAAGGTGTGAGCTGGCACACACAGCAGGGAGGAGGAAACAGCGGGATCCACCACGGCTGTTAGGCACCAAGACATGCCATGGGCCTCATGCTTGCCCCTCCAGTATGTGCTGCTGTGGTTTTGCTGCAAAGACAAGCTTCCCACATGGAGAGCTGCCCTTCTTTGGCTATCACATACCATACCATGCAAGTCCTCTTTGGCAAAGGTACAAAAAAGGGTAAGAGAGCTGCACAGCAAAACGTGGTGCATCAGCAGCAGGTCCATGGGGCACCTTGGAAGGGAACTAAAGATGGATGGAGGTGCAGGACTGTATGACCTATGCACCCCTCAGCACATGGACACCAAGGCATTAAAACTGCACCCACAACCTTGATTTTCCTGCTTCTAGACGTCCAGGCACAGAAACTCTGCAGCCATAAAGCTCTCTCTGAGCAGGGGAACTCTTACCATGGCTGCTCCCACTTCCTACCAGGAGCTGAGCTCCTAATTCCCATTTGCACTTTTGCAAAGGCTTCCCACACTTAATGTCTTATCTTCACCATCTTCACCGTGCAGGAACTACAATATGGTTGTTATTCTACTATCAAGAGCCAATAACAGCAAGGTTCAGTTTTATTTTTTGGGAGACAATCAGGCAATTAATCCTAGACAAGGTCATGTTGTCACCATCATGTTCCTACACCCCATAAAGGCTTCAGGGACACCTCCTCCAAGACTCTGTGGCAGAGTGGTGAATCCTCATGCACTATCCCAAACTGTAAAACAAACAAGCACCTGATTTCCATGCAGCAGAAACCTCCCTTGAGATCAACACGGATCACTGATTTTCAGCTGAATTTCTC